AGATAAGTTATTATTAGAAGCATAACCATTCGATGTTCCTCGAAGATATATACTGTGGCGGTTAACCACTGAATTAGGTGAAGCAATTGCTAACCATAGAATGTAAGCCTCTTCTTTAGTATTTCCATTATAAAGTCCAGCTATAACGTGTAATCGGTCAGTAGGATTCTTTCTTCATGTTCATTATTATTAACATCGAAGGTAGCCACTGAGATACACCATGGCAATAGGAATAAATAATTTTTTAGAATAAGAAAAATAGCAACTTTCACCGAGGTATTTATTTGTCGCATGGCCTTTAACATGGTCAGAAAAAAATTAACAGAGACATAGAGATAAGGTCATATTGGTCGTAATCCAGTAGAGGGGTGGGCGGTCGAGATGTGTTATGCCTTTGCCGGCTAAGTGCTCACTATAGCTACGAACAAAGTAAATTACTACATTTACGATTTGAACCCACGACTTGCTAGTCGTAATTCTTAACTACTCAGATACTCATGCGGATTGATTGTGGGATAGTAAAAAACTGACAATTTGCGGTTAGTATAAATTCATAATTATCTAAGTTAAGACGCAGGTCACCTTTTCTGGTCGAAAAACTATTGCTTACTTTATTTCTTCATATATCCTGCAATAAATGATTGAAATTTATGCTCAATTTTTCAAACTTTTCTACTAAAAAGTTGCGTGAAATAATAAATTTAGACTCCCTACCAATAAAATTGATCAAATTACAAAAAAAAAAAGAAAAATTAATTGTCACTTATTTAACAACATTCCCATGAATTAACATTTTGTAAGATCTAACCTAGTTGATAAGCTAATATAAGATATTTAATTTTAATCGGAGGTTTTTATTTGTGGATTTTACTTCGCTATGTACGTTATATTTACTGTAAGAAATTTTGAAACTCTTTTATATCTTAGACAAATGTATAATATTCTTCAATAACCATGTGAAAAAGTTTATGTTAATTTCCTTTTTCGACAAAAAGATTAAACTTCAACCAAGCAGTGTTTAAAAAGAATTACCAAAAACTTATGAAGAAAGGAATGCATGGTAGTTTCTTTAAATTGAGTAAAGCTCAAGCAAGTGTCTACTGAAAAATTGAAATGACGTTACTTAAATAAAATATATCCCAAAAATTCTAAAATTAAAGAAATGAAATATATTTTATGTACATATCGTGTTTAAGTTTCGTTTATTACGATTTGTTAACACATTTATTTTAGTTGCCGAATATTTATTGTAGCACAAATAAATTGTAGCTATATATTTTCCGTTATACACAATAGATTTGCATAAGGAACAAAAGGAGCAGAAATTTTTTCAGTTATACAAAACAATAAAAGGAAAATTGAAAATGAAAAGCAAAACTATGAACTACAGCAATAATTAATTACTAAACGAACAGCATCAATACCACACTTTATGTAATTTAGTGCAGTAGTAATGAAATATGGCCATATGTGAACGAAGAAAACAAAATAAAAAATACATAAACAACATTTTGCTTGTTACCAATACGTATTAAATAGCACAACAAAGAAAATAGTGAATTTATACAATGGAATAAAATTCCTATCGACCGTGAAGAATTCGAACCAGAAAAAATGAAAATGAATTTGGAAACGCTCAAGATCCTAATAGAAAACAGAAGCTATTAGCGCTGGAAAGGAAGCCCACCTACCATAAGATATGTACTATATAATATGTCTCAAGGGGTGTTATGTTGTTGATTTTTATATTTACATTTCAATTCTTAGAGTAGATCATTGAAAATGTTGCTTAAACCTAGTAAACAAGAGAATGACATCAACCCTCAAAGGCGAATAAGTTATCTGTCCACCCTTTCGAAACCTTTAGAATGCGTAAGCTGGATAGTCTACGTCTGATTTCATAGATATGAGAAAAGATTTCGCGTACTTGGTGCATAGCATATATAGCAAAATAACTGGAAACTCGAAAATAAAACCGCATGGTACATGCTTAGTACACTGTTGAAACCGACATTAAATGGAAAGTTACTAAGATAAACGAAAAGTGTTCATGATGGTAAGTTTGATTCAAGGAAAAGGAAATGCAAATAATTAGAAGAGAGATAGTTTCATTCAAAAAGCAAACCAACGACCAGAATGTAACTAAAGACAGTTTCTTTTCCGCTAAAAATTTACTCCATGATTTCTCTGGAAATAATGACAAGCTCGAATTATGGGTTATCACATTATGCTACTAAAGCAAGATAATACAATAATACAGTAATAAAACATTCTGCAGTGCAAATGTAACCGATCGCAATTTAGTTCTAGTAAAATAATCTAAGTTTTACTTAACAAATTTATTAATTAATTTCGGATATGTCAACATTTTACAAGCTTAACAACTTTTTTACATTCTAAATATATCTTAACAAGGTTAGCAACCACCTCAAAAATTTTTAACACCCCCCTAATACCCTTCTCTAATTTCAACTTGGCTTGAAACGTATAACTTTACTACTATGAAGATTGATTCTTTCACATTTTTCATGTAGTTTCACAAGTAAATTATCGATTCGTTGAGCGATTTTCACTGGTTCCAATATGTCAGCTGATACCGGTTTTTTTTGTTTTGTTTACTTTAATAACAAACGTTTTTGTAAGGTACAATAAAAAGCTGCTCTAAAGCCTTCTTTACAGAACCGTTTTTTAAAAACACACAGGAACATTGTGTCGTATATGGGAGAAGATACCAAATTCAATTTTCTTTACAAGCTTGCATATTCACGCAAAATTTTTCTAGGTAGCCGTATTGGTATGAAATTTAGTAAAAAAAGATCGGTACCATTTAAATTTAAATTGGGTAATATAATTTTCTTCAAAACAAGGGTGGGTGATGAGCATTAACCCAAGCAGCGCGATCGCACTATTCAGATTTTATGTCGAAAAACCCAGCACATTTCGAGCATTGCGTTACGTATAGTCGAAGCCGAGCGCTCAGAGTTACTGACGCAAGTAGATCACACAGCTTCTTCTAATATAATAAATAGTACGTTTTACAATAGGTAAAATAGTACTATAATAATGTGCTTACAGATTTTCTTTTTCGATTCATTATACCTATTTAGGGATGCAGCAAATTTAGAAAACTTAAATAGTAAATCGAGATTAATTTTTTACTTACTGTGCCTGTTGCTTCGTCTAATCATTTTAAAACACACAATTGTTAATAATGAAAAGAATTATTAACTGAAGAATACGGAAGAATACGTGCGATCACTTCGCAAACTGCAATAAAAGTGACGCGCTGCTTGGGTATTTTCGTACATATATAGGGAAAGCGCGATCGCGCTGTTTGGGACTCTTCGACAGTGTTTTTTCAATACCTCAAATGGTTAAAGTAAATTCTCTATTTCTTCATGAGCTCCTTGATGTTTTACCAATGACTCATAATCAATACTGCTTGGCATGGAAATAGTTTCAGTTCATGACAAAAAATTAGCTGCCACATTATGGTTTCCCTCCATGAACCTACTGTCGGTACAGTGTTGTTCAATGCGATCAGTCTAATTGACGTAATCAGCTTTTCGAATCTTTGCCAGAAAGTACGCATAAGAGGCTTGCAATCTGATAGTTCGTGTTTTTCTATTGGCTTTACACGCTCTGAATTTAATAATACCCTTTTGATGTTATTAAATATTCTAGGAATCCTAGGAAAGATAGTTAACTTTTTTCAAATTCGTAAGCCTATAGCAACTTAATCGAGTATTTTAACGTGTTCTTTGTGTTTGCGAGTTTATAGAAGCGATAAAAGTATCGTCAATGAAAGTATAACATTTTGGAGGCTTTTTAGGACTTCGTTCACAAACCGTTGAAGTGTTTGTGCAGCATTATACAAACAAAGCGTCATTCTCGTAAATTCGAAAAGTCCTATTGGTGGATATTTTGGGTGTATCTGCTTCTTCAGCAGCGATTTGAAATTAAGTTTTCACCAAATATGTTTTAGAAAATACTTCCTTATCATGTAAATTAGCTGAGGAATCATGAATATATGGTATAGTGTGTCTATCCAGAACAGTAATTTTATTGAGAGGTTTATAGTCACCACATGAGCGATATTCGTTGTTAGGTTTTGGAACAAAGTGTAAAGGATATACCTAATTGCATGATATAGTTAAATTCTAAAAATTTAAGTTTAACCTCGTGTTTAACTTCTTGTAATGTACAGTAAAAGCTCTTTATTCGCGGGGTATATGTTCCATAAATATGCCGCGAAGACAGAAACCGTGAATACTGAATGGTAATTTATATGGAATTATAGGGAATATGTTCCTAGGTGACAAAATAAAAACAAACAAACATATAAAAAGATCAATTTAATTGAAGTTTTTGAACATTTTGATTAATTATCTTAAGGCTTAGGCAATGATTTGAAGAATTTTGTAACTTTCTCTTCTTTTCGCCGTTTTTAAAAGCTCCTTCAATTCTGACTGAAACGCAGCAGTGGCATTTGCAATTTGCCTCGTAAAAATAAGACTTCGTTCCACAGACGGATCAATGTTCATAACGAAATCGCATAGCCCATTTGCCATTCTTAAACGTTCACTAAGACTTTTCAAATTAAATGTCCCGTTTCCAGTGCTTGTTGAAGTCTCTTCTTCAATGGGCTGTGAATTTAACATTTCCTCCAAGTCGGTTTCAGTCAAATCTTCATCTTGCGAATCAAGCAATTCTTGAATGTCGCTTGATTTTATCTATTCGAACTCATCTCGCCCTCTTCCATTCGCGATTTCGGCTGTTTGCAGTCAAAGTTTGAACTTGCACAAATTCTTCGTCATTTTCGGCAGTCAGAGCAGGCCACAGTATTTTCCAGCATGACTTCAATGTGTGTGGCTTCAGTTCTTCCAATCAATTTTTTATGTTTACGATGCATTTTCCTATATCAAATTTCTTCCAGCATTCCATAACATTCATATCAGGATTACACTCCATATTATCCATTATGATTTTGAAGGTTCGTCTCATGTAATAGAGCTGAAAGGCGTGATTATTCCTTGGTCCATACGTTGAAGCAAAGCCGTCGTGTTGGGAGGCAAAAATGTAGCTTTTATATTTGGATTCATAGTTTCATGTTCGCGAGGATGATCTGGTGCATTGTCCAAAACTAGAAATGCTTTAAAGTCTAAATTCTGTTTTTTTAAATAGGTTTCAGCTTCAGAAACAAAACAATTCCGGAACCAGTCACAAAAAATAGCGCTTGTAACCCACGCTTTCTTATTAGCACTCCAAAACACTGACTGTTTGTCCTTGTTTTGATTTTGTAAAGCTTGAGGATTATACGATCTGTAAAGCATCAGCGGCTTAATGACACAATCTCCAGATGCATTAGAACATAGCATCAGTGTAACTCTATCCTTTGCTGCCTTAAATCCAGGAGCAGACTTTTCGCCTTTAGAAATGAATGTCTTGTTTGGCGTTCTCTTCCGAAACAGTGCAGTTTCGTCTGCATTAAATACTTGCTCTGGTTTGTGTCCTCCGTCAGCTACTAGGCTTGCACATTCTTCTGGATATCGCTCCACTGCAGCAGTGTCTGCAGATGCTGCTACTCCAACGATTTTAATCTTATGCAATGATTGTCTCACCTTAAATTTATTGAACCAACCTTCCGACGCTTGAAATTCTCCATCCATATATTCACCACTACAACTACCATCAGGTTCTTTAAAATGAGCGTAAACACGCTTTACCTTCTCCCGGACCATTGGACACTTGGGGGTACCCTTTTTTGCAAATGACTTTCCGAGGCGTATTCGATCAAGCATTTCAATTTTCACTTTAAGCGGTAGCACAGACTTTTTTCGTGTCGAAACTCGTTTCTCATTTTTTTTAGTTGACATTATAAATTAAAAAAAGAGCGGTAGGGACGTGTTACTCGATCGTAATTTTTGTAACGAATGTGAAAGACGAAACAATAAAACACGCAAATCGGCTTTTACCATAGAACGGAACAGCAACATTTAAAAATATGTATACGTACTTTATTCATTGAATACTAAGGTTCCTTTCATTCTGTTTGTTTATATTCTCATAAACATCGATCGCGGAAATTTATAGCCACGAATATAGGAATTGGTCGCATTTTTCTAATCCGCGAATTGTGAAACCGCGAATATAGGAATTGGTCGCACTTTTTTAATCCACGAACGGTGAAATCGCGAATGAAGGAAGCGCGAATAAGGAGCATTTACTGTACATGACGTTTATGAAACGGTGATTTTTCAAAAATTGAGCAGTTTTTAGGCCTTTTCTTTTAACTTCGACAAGCAATCCAAATTGTTCTAGACAGTCAAAACCGACAGTTGGTTGTAGAACATCTGCAATTATAAATTTCCACATAAATTGTCACCTTAAGTTAAGATGTACATTAAAAATTTTTTCTCCATGGGTGGGCTATTTGCAGGTAGAAGTTGGAATTGATTTGGACAGAAATTTATATTTTGCAGAATCGTCTCATACGAAACGTCGCAGTATTTTAAATTTTGCTTCGTCAGTTGCCTTGGACGAAGGATTTACATATTTGTCGTTTAATATTTGAACGATGCTTGACATTTTTTAACGAATGGAGCTCTTTTATTTGGACTGCGTCTTCTGTTTTTATCCTCTATGCAGTTTTGGAATTTAATTCCATGAATACGTTTGGATAACTCAGTGATTTGGACCTGAATATTACAAAGTATTTCTTTCGAACTCGTCGAAATCGTTGTGCTAATTGAAAGACAATCTAGGTGATTATTATACTTGTCTAAGCTGATTTCGCTGAATGACAAAATGGCTTTTATCCTTCATGGTAAACGTTGTAACCATAAAGATTTCAGTAGATCATCTGACACTTTTCCGGATGATAGTTAACGCATTTCATGTAAAAATACTTCAAGTATTTTATTACCATGATGAAAATTCTCTAACAATTATAGCATACATTTTTCTTTGGAATCTTGGAATTCGCCTAATAATTCGCTTTTTAGAGCTTCGTCTAAATTTTGGTTCGGCGGATTTTCGATGATATGACTTACTACGTTAAGAGAGTCGTTTTCAACAGAGTTAACTAGGGTGTGATATTTGACCGTATCCAGAGCAATTCCCGCTGTACAAAATGGTAAAAGAGATGGTATTTTCACGTAAAATATGGTTTTGCTGCAGCTGTAGGTCACTTATTCCCTCACCTTGTGATATTTTGATGATTAATCTTTATTTCTTCAATGGAAGCATCAATGCGGCGTTGTTAATCAAAAATTGTGACGAAAGAAACACTCACAATAATAATTTATTCCGTAACGCAGACGTAACCGAACACAATTTATTTTTAGATTCTAAATATACCTTCACAGAGTTACTCGTATCACAAAAAGAATTAATATTTATTTTAAGAAAACACCGATTTAATTGTCGCAAATGAAGTGCAAATCATTACCAACTGCTGCAAACCATACCACAAGATCATCGTGGAATCAACCTTTGCTTCAATAGTAATGAAAAAAAATCCATCAAAACTCTGAGTCTTATGTCGGTACCTAAAGTTGAGCAAAGAGTAAAGGTGGATCAAATGAATATTGCCACAAAACGCAGCGTAAGTTTTGATTCAGCAGGACTATTTTCTCCACTAGGAATTTTGGCGCCTGTTGCTATTACAGCCAAAATATTTATTCAACACTTGTGGCAGCTCTAACTAACATAGGATGGAAACCTTCTAGCAGATTTAAAGGCAACTTGGATCCATTTTTGCAAAATTTTGGTCATCTTAAATAACCTTAAAATAACGCAACACATATTCAAACAGGAAAACACCTTATCAACAATTCATTTGCATATATTTGATGATGTTTTTGAAAAGGCGTCGGGGGCTATAGCATACATTCCAGCTACATCCAAAGATGGCACCGTTATGACCCGCGGCACTTTTAGCTGCACAATTGCCATATCGCCTGCGAATGGATGTTCAAATAAAGAATCTACCAAGCTTCCTATGCTCTGATTCTGAAATTGTGTTATCTTGGATAGATTCCCGATCATCGTGGTGCAAGACATCGGTTGGCAACAATATATCACAAATTCAAAAAGAAACGCAACCAAAACAGTGGCGGCATATGAGTTATCAAGATAATCTAACAGACATTTTTCAACAAACTTATAGGCAAAGTTCCTTTTAGAAAGTCATTTGTGGTTCTTGGGCCCATCATTTCTACATACAGAAAATTATAAGAGTAGGAGAACGGCTAGAAGAATCAGCTTTACAGTATGATACAAAACATCCGGTGGTCCTTCCATACAATGACCTTTGGTAAAATCCCTCTTTAAAATAGTGCATGACGACAACATGACGACAAACACTACAGTCCACAAGGACTATTAGGGCTAATACGACAAAAATTTTGGGCAATAAAAAGAAAAATTCGTAAATACAACGAGGCTCGTTCTAATTACGCCACGAGATCATGGGAAATTTTTCAACAACAAGAGTGACACCTGCAAGACCCTCCATTAACAGATGCGTTGACTATTTTGGTCCTTTATGGACACAAAATCAGGGGAGAAAAGCCAACAAAGGCATACGTCGCAGTACTTTCTTGCTTTGTCATAAAGCCTACTTCGAGCTTGTCTCAACTGAAGCATTCACAGCAGCACCAAAACTCTTCATCAGTCATACAGGACGCTGTCAAAACATCTACAATGACAATGCAATGAATTTTGTTGGCACTGGCAACTAATTATTGGAACTCCCTAATTTACCCTTTACCGAGAAGGGAAAGGAATCAATAGTGCCAACATGCAGCTCGAAGGGAATACAGTTCTAATTTATTCCATACAGGGCACTCCATTTCGGAGGACTATGAAAAGCAATAATATAATCGGCAAAGTACCTTTTCATTCATAGTGTCAGTAACGCTTCATTAGTGTCTCCGCTATTTTTTTTTTTTTATTTTTTTATTTATTCATTCATTTATTTTAATTCTACTTATACATGAAACTCAACTAAACAAATAACAGTCGAGTTCAATTGGCACTTAAAGCAAAACTTATATTAAATACTAATAATAAAACTTGGTATAAGTACAATAAAACAGATAAGAAGGAAAAAAAAAGGAAAAAAGGCTGTACACAACCGGTATAGAGACACACTTACAACCGATACAGGACCAAATTGTAAATAAACCCCTAAGCCATCGCAAACATGCATAAGCTTGGCAATCGGTAATACTTAACAAGAATTCATTTTGCAAACATAACGACTTTTAAGGATAAAAGCTAGTTTAAGTAAGACATAGGTAAATCGCGCGTATTAAGCAATGTTGCTTTAATGGACTTTAAAGAGTCTGATAATGAGAATAAGTGATAGAAGTCATTTAGGTTCTTGCAAACTGCTCTGAGCGGATTAAACAGCTCATAATCATATTTACACTGACTAAGCTTAACCAAGGTAAAGTGCCTAGAGAAGCGGTTAGGGACATTAAAGCTTATTTCACCAATAATAAAAGCGAGGCAATAGCACCATTTATTAGTAACAAACCTACGTTTCTCAAGAGACGGTGAGGACAGCAGAAGCAACCTATTTTCATAGGGAGGAAGAAAGGCAATCGGATCCCAACCCAAATTTCTAAGAGCAAACAGCAAGAATTGCTTTTGAACAGATTCAATTGAATCTACATAGCACCTATATGAAGGAGACCACACAACAGACGCATACTCGAGTATGGGCCTAACCAAACACATGTACAGCCTTTTCGCAAGGTAAGGATCATCAAGCTCTTTAGACCATCTTTTTATAAAACCAAGCGCGGACCTAGCTTTGCTTATCGAGAGCTCAATATGCAAGTTGAAACGTAACCTATGGTCAAATAGAACGCCTAAATCTGAGATCGAATCGACGTCCTCCAACTTATGCGAATCTATGAAATACTGAGTAATGAATGACTTTCTTCTTGAGAAAGAAAGCTTCTTACATTTACTCAGACGTAGTTTCAGAAGATTCACAGAGCACCATGCAACAAAATTATCCAAGTCATCTTGAAGCTGATGTGATTGCGATTTAACAGAGAAGGAGCAAAACAGTTTCACATCATCAGCGTACATTAAGATGTGACTGGAATTACTCACCGATGGAAAATCATTAATATATCAACTAAATAAAATGGGAACTAAATGGCTGCCTTGAGGTACGCCGGACGTCACGGGGAATTGATCCGAGGTAATGAATTTAAACAGAACCCTGAAAGATCTATTGTGCAGATAAGAGCTTGTCTATTTCACTAAATAGAAAGGGAAGCCAGAGCCTTGGAGTTTAAAGATAAATAAGTTATGGTTAACCATATCAAACGCTTTGCTTAAATCAGTGTATATCACATCTGTGCGAGAGCCACTAGAAAAAGCCTTGAAAACATGACAAGTAAACTCTAACAAGTTAGTGACTGTAGATCGCCCTTTCCAAAAGCCATGCTGGTATGCAGGAATATACGAATTAATGGTAACGGCCAAATGCTGAGTCACAATTTGCTCAAACAGCTTAGGCAAGACACTCAACTTGGCTATGTCTCTGCAGTTCTCAACTAATTGTCTATTTCCACTCTTGTGGATAGGACTAAAGAAACCACTCTTCCAACACGAAGGGAAAACATCTAAATTCAAGAACAGGTTAAAAATCTTTGAGATCACACCACATAACTCGACAGCGTAAGATTTAAGTAAGGTCCTGGCGCACAACAATATTTTAGAGAACTCATCCTTTTAAAAACGTCATCGTCCGAAATTACCAAGTTAGGAATTGAGACAGAGTTAGTTATAGGATATGGGTAGTTTGCTGATAAATTGAAATTAGCAATCGAAAAGTTTCGTCGGAAATACT